GGCCGTGGTAATGTCACTGCCACTTTGTGGTGAACGGCGGTTGTTGTTGTCTATCCATCACGGTTGCTGAGCACTGCAGGCTCTAGTGTCCAGACGCCAAGCGGCCAGAAATACAACAGCACGATTCTATGTGTAATCGATCAGAGTTGATATCTTTCTTGAATTAAGCAAGGTTATAATAGCTTCGGACATGAGGTAGGAAGTACAAATATAAATGATTGTGACCTGTGGTGTGGTGAGTGGGTGGGTGATTGGGTTGGTGAGTGGGTGGGTGATTGGTTTGGTGAGTGAGTGGGTGAGTGAGTGGGTGATTGGGTGGGTGGATGTCTGACTGGGTGAGTGGATGTTTGAGTGGGTAAGTGTTGTTTTCACCTGGATTGTACGCTTGTGGTTGTGACAGTACGGATGAGGCGAAACTGTCCTGAGCATGGGAGGAGGAATGAATTGGTGAAGTTCACGGGGACAGTAACAATGGGAGTAGAGTAGCAGCAACGATTATGATCAAGAGTATTTTTTTTAACCCAGAAATGTTGTTTTTGTTTTATTTCTCAAAACAGAAATTACAAATAATTAATTTGTAGCACTTTGCCAATCCACTAATATATTTGTGAAAGCCCCCCTATGCCGTATTACATGCGGGTTCCTTGAATGTACTTCACCACGCCGGTCAATGTGGGTTGGTGAAAGGGGTCGGCAGGTAAGGATCAGGAACGGTTCAGATATCACTCGCCACTGATGTTAGCCGTGGCCAGAAGTTTAACGAGGCAAATGCGCCACTACGGCCACCCAAACACAGGAATGAGAAATGAGTGCTTGCTTAAATTTGACAAATTTAGTATTTACCCTTTTTTGCAAAGAAATAATATTGTGTTATTTTGTCAAAGCGTCCTTGTTTCTTTTATTATGCACCAGGTAAAGCCGATCACACTTGATAATAGCAACCAAATAATGTACATGCATGTTTCTAAATGTAGAGGGCAAAACGAGATGACCCGGAGAAAAATCCACGCGACTACACGCAGAGACACGAAAACTCAAAATATACAGGAATCTTTTGGGTCCGGGATTGCGTACCAGGCGATTGAAATAACATCTCGCCACCACGACGCAACAATGACACATTCCTGCGGAGGGAGCCGGTAGGAACATTGGGTTGCTCGGTCAATGGCCAGGGTCAACGGCGGCGTGGTGTATTCCGCAAATATGCCCGACTGTGAGGGTGGGCACAAGCCGGCGTGAGTAGGTTAAACGTTGAGTTTTATAAGGGCACCACGGGGTGACTAGCCCCTCCCCACCCAGCCCCACCCCTCCCACCCCCCACCCAGCCCCACCCTCCCCACCCAACCCCTCCCCATCCTCCCCTCCCTCCCCACCCAGCCCCTCCCTGCACGACGGACGGACACAATAATCCCCTGTGGGCTGGTGTAACTAGGAGGTTCCTACCAGTATAAATAATATGAACACGCCACCACGTGGTGTACAATGCACAATTGCCGGCAAAGTCGGCTTCATTCAAACTCGGCTGCTTTAAGGGCACACCCCATGGCTTTACTCTGATAACGAGCGGGCTTAAGAACAGGGTGAAGGAGTCGTTGCTTAATTCTATGTTATTTATATACATATTTTGGGGCTTCTACATCCTGAATATGCAAATAGCAAGGAATTCGTTTTGGCGTGCAACTAACCACACAGGGTCGAGCAGTGGCACAATGGTTAGCGCCCCCTGCAAGAATGTATTTAATTATTTACATGCTCTACGTAATTAAATACACTCTTTATTATTTACGCATAATTTCCCGCGATGGGATTTATTTAACGCCGAACAACTGAATAACAATTAACTAACTATTTACAATTTAATACATCGCTTTTACCAACACATAACGAATCACTCGTGTACAAGTAACAGGCGAGTCACCATCACTGTGAAGCAGAGGTGGACGGTTAAGGTTCACTGGATGTGGAAGGTTGAAAATATTTTTCCGAGGGGATTGAATCATTTATTTAATTTCATTGTTAAATAAAAGTTAAATGAGACGCACGAAAAAAGCACGAGCAGACCATGGAGTTAACCGAAAGAGTCCAAACGCGTGGGTTCCCTGAATTTCTGTACTCCAGGTAATGTTTTTATAATTCCTTGTGTACACACGCAGAGCAGCACTCCTTGGTAAATGACACTGCGTTAATAGACGGTCCGGGTAATGGCCCTTCTTCATAGCAAATGACGTTCGTGTTGATGTTATAAAACTTAAATTTCGATTTAAAGCTTTCGTGACTGCAGGGATTCATCTTCTTGGTTCTTTCGGTAAAGTCATCACGTAGAAGGGAAGAAATAAAATAATAAAAATAAAACATAATAAAATTATTCTCACGACGTTTCGGCCACAACGCAAGTAGCCGTCCTCAGGTGAAAACCAGGTCTGTACAGGCGACAGCCACCTGAGGAAGGCTACTTGCGTTGTGGCCGAAACGTCGTGAGAATAATTTTATTGTTTTATTTTTATTGTTATAAAACTTGCTTGTGCGCCATTCCCAATGCGGCAACGTCACCAAAAAATGCACGGTATCTACGTCGTAACACCGCGTGACCAGACTCAACCTGATCACTTGCCAATGAGTCATATGTCTCCCATACTCAGAGATGTCACGCGTCGCCCCGGGAAGCTTCGTCTCAAAATCACGAGCAAAAACAAGCGGTTGTACATGTGCGGGCAGCCCTTTTGACATATTTACCGAGGAATATGAACCATTGGGACGGATGCTTAATACTCATATAAGATTAACTACCTCCATCAAGAAGTAATCATTCAGCAGTCCCCCGGGTCGGCAAATCAGATTCATGGTGAGACTAGAGAATGAACAGTGAACATTTCTCGTACCTTGGAAGCAACCTTTCACAGAATAAAGAAATCCACCAATCACCTGGAATCTGCAAGTGCAGCCTGCGGTCGCCTGAAGAAACTGGTGTTAGAAGAAACGCAACATCATATCCCGAAACCAAGACGATGCAGGTTTATCAAGCAGTGACCCCCCACCACACCGCACCGAGCTGAGGTGCGGTCAGTATAACAGGAAGAGACAACTCAAGACCCTTGGAAAAGCACCGTCAAAGTTGCCTGCGGCAGATCATCCGAAACCAGTCGGAAAGACAGACGCGCCAGCATTCACGTCCTCTCACGCGAGCTTCGAGGCGACGAGTTTAATATTCTCCCACCTCAGTCGAGGCGTTCGCTAAACCAAGGTGAGCGGACAAATCGGTGTCAGGGAGAGAAGCACAACGCCGACACCGACTCGTGGGGAACGACTGCCCAGGATCGTCCCCGGATTTTTGGAGGAAGAGTCTGCGGCGAGGATCTGCAGCACTTCGCAGCCCTAGGACGACTGCAGGAGGAAGAGGAAAACCAGGAATGGCCTGGCTGGTGTTTGCCTCGCTAATGACGATATTGACACAACGCACCAGGTACAGTGCTCCTTTTAAGTCTACCTATCGGAGCCGCAGGGGCAATTTGCACTTATATATTTTAGATTAAGTTTCGTGACTTGCGTTAAAATAATATTATTTTTTGCGCTTAAATCGTTTGCTTGTCGTAGTAACTTGCTGACCCGCGCCCTACTGGACGTCTGTGAAAAAGCGCTTCGGAGCTCATCGGATTCCTCCAGTCTGAATAAAGATTCTGAAGTTGAAATGTAAGTCGCCCACTGCTGTTTGCCGTGGCCGGGACTAGCTCGCTGATAAGGGACGTGTTCAAAGCTTTGAAGCCTCTGTTGTGGTGCGAAAAATAAGTTCTCCACACTGTACATTGTTCTTATTGGGTGCAATTGTGAACAATAGCCATATCAAACATCATTTAAACATCTAATCGGCATAATCATGGGTTTACTGCAACTCAAAGACTCAGTCCCTACAAGGCGTGTGGTCACGTTAGGACATGTCCACGTGCCCGGCGTTAGAACGTCCGAAGACCAGAATCGCTGATTTTGCCGACAATGTGTTCAGGGAGGCAATTTCATATCCGGACAGCTTTTATCCAGGGAGCATGATGTGGCAACATTACAACTCACAACAACCCCAGTCGTCCACCCGAAAACTTAATGGGCCTACGAAAACCAATGTGACCATGTTTATTTTTGTTTGTTTGTATGATAACAAATTTTACCAAAATATCTTCTTGAATAACAGTCAAACTAATATATTTAAGCTTGAATAAAAGTAAAGAATTATGGCGCTCGCGATGAGGTCGTCCTGTCAGAACATCTAAAATGTTATCGATGAAAACGAACGGCATCCTTTTAAAGCCGCGCCATCCGATGATAATTATAGTAAAAAAATAGTCGAAAATTTTATTTTTTTCGGCTTACCTTGGGTTTCCCCCCCAATAATTTCAAATTCATTCGGCTTATCTGCGGCGCACAGTGCACTCCCATCGAATTAGGGCACAGACAAAATAATGAAAGTATCATTAACGACATCTGTCCAGCGGCTGGACGAAGTATGCGTGAAACAAGCGGAGTAAGAGCGGCGGTCTAGTGTGTAACATGGGCAGTAGTACCAACTCTAGAAGGTCAACGAAACAGAAGTGCCATGCAGGGCCTACAAGAGCCTTAATCCGGCCCTGGTTAATGGGGTTGGGGGGCCGTGTCCAAATCTTTGAAGCGTCTGTGGGTCGCGAAAATAAGTTCTCCATTTATCCACATACAGACATACTCTTTGGTTCTTTCGGTAAAGTCACGTAGGTAGAAAAAATAATAGATCACCAGTGATCACGTAGGTAGAAAAAAAAATAGATCACTGGTGACCTATTTAAAAAAATTCTACCTACGTGACTGCAGTCACGAAAGCTTGAAATCAAGATTGATCCACATACAGCTTCACAGCAACCCAACCGTCCAGCACGAGCAGATATTCTCCACGGTAGGAGCCACGTGTTTGACACACAGACGCCTCCCACCCCCCACAAACACAAAAACGCGCGCGCGTCACAGCCGCCCACGCCCTTTGGGGCTGCAGTTACGGCAGCCGGCACGGGGGTGGATCACACGCGTATGTATAAAGGAGCCGGCTACCTCGCTGCTGCTGGCGAGAAGCGAGCGGCACAGCCAAGGGTGACACTTCAAAGTTGACCGGGGCCGGCACCGCCTTCGCGCCGGTAAGAGACGGACGCGGCGAGGATGGAGCAGTGCACGTGCTGTTCGGTGCGTAAAGTCGTGCGCCTTGGGAGGGGAGTGGGGATCTGTTCGGGTTCGCTAACGCTACGAACCCGGCCGGCCCGAGTTCGATATTCGCTCACGGCCAACACGCAACCAGTGACGATTGTTTGAACCGTTCTTGGCCGTCCCCTGGGTCGATTCAGCCTCAAATGAGCTCCTCGTGTGGTGTGTAAACAAAGGTGGTCGGGCGGCCGTGGTGCTGGCCACCCACCCCCTCCTCGTGCACCTTTCCGGCCTTCATAGGTGCTCGCGAGCAGCACTTGCCCCAATAGTCTGTGGAGACTATACCGGGGGGGAATCTTTGTCTTTGTGTGAGTGATCTCATTGTTCGCGTGTATTTGTTTTGTGTTTTCAGTATACGAGAGTTTGTGTGTGTGTATGCGCGCGTGAGTGTCTTCGTGTGTACGCGAGAATTGAGCACGAGTGTGTAAGCATGCATGTACGTATGCGTACGGTACGTGAAGGTATGCAGGTGTTCGCTAACAGCTCTTGCACCTCCCCCCCTTACACGTTTGTAAAGATCCACGGGGAAATCTTCGTTTTGTGTGGGATCATTTAGATGAATTCCTTGCGAGGGCGTGCGACTGTGGGTGTGCATGTCGTGGGCCTCCCCTCGGTCGAATGAGTAGCTGGTGCGGCGTGTAAACGTCGCCACCGGGAGAGACAAAGGCGGCCGGGCGTGGTGTTGCCCCCCCCCCCCACCCCCTTTGTCGTGTCGTGCCGGCCTTCCGTAGGTGCTGCTCGCTCACAGCGCTTGCCCCAACAGTCCCGTCACAGGCGAAACGGGTTTGGGGGATCTTTGTCTTGGGGCACATCGAGCGTGCGGCTGCAGCGCGCGCAGTGCGTGACCGCAGACAGCGGCCTCCCGAGTTCGACTCCCCTGCCGCGGTTCACATGAGCGGCGTCTGCCGCCTTTTTGGCGTGCACAGAAATCGATTAGAACCAAGTCGGGACGACTCGGCCTTCACACCACCCCCCACTTGGGGAGGGGGGTGGTCGATAAAACGAGTAGCACTTCTTGAGAAATCAACAATAATCGTTTTTTATTATTATTTATTATTTATTAATTTTAATTTATTTATTTTTTACCTACGTGACTTTACCGAAAAAACTAAGAGTATGAATCCTTGCAGTCACGAAAGCTTCAAATCTAGAAATAATCGTTCAATTGATCAAGAGTGGGACCCATGATTGGAACGTGAGATTTTAGCGGTTCGCCGAGGAACGCCTAAGTAGATTGTTGCACTGCCCCTGGGCTTGGCTCGGGTTCCCTGCTGATGTGTCTGTGCGGCAGGATGTGGCACTGTGGTGGTGCCATTATCCACTCAGCATGCAACTTCGCACTCCACCCAACATTCCCCGTATCGTATCCCCTCCCCCGATGTCCCAACACCCCCGGTCTCCCATCCCCCCCACCACGATCCGATTGTGTCGAGTAGATTCCAGAAGAATGGATCATTTGTTTCATTGTTAATCCCCATTGTCTGTGAACTCGCGTTTGAACTCGGTAGTTTTCCCTTCGTTTCGTTGCGCCTGCCGAACAATTGTGGTGATCACACCGGTGCCGATCGAATGTTCGGCGATACCCCCTGCTGATCTCAACATAATCATCGTTGTCGTCAGCCACGCTCGATCCTCCGCGGAAATGAAGACCTCCCCAATCCATGGCCACCTCTCACGGTCGCGTGACTTCGCACCAACGATGTAACGCTACGCACGACATCCCTCACCTGCGCTTAAACACAGACGTGCACTCCGCCCCCCCCCCCTTCGCAGATCGCATCAGGGCTACGCCAGCGACAATGATGATGATGACGATGACCACCGTCATGGCGATAGCAATGTCGACGACGATGACGATAACGCTGGTGGTGATGACGGGGGCGTTAGCGGCGTCGACGGTGTCGGCAGACGGCGCGAAGATGCCTTCTCCATCCCAGCCGTGCGGGCTGTGTCCCCCGGGCCACCACGTTTCGTTGCCGTGCTCCACGAAGGCCAGCGAGGAGCAGCAGGGGCAGCAGCTCCTCCTGGAGGACGCGGACGACGTGGAGGCACGTTGCACGCCGTGCCCGCCGCGCCACTACACGCAGTTCTCAAACTCCCTGGACCGGTGTCGCTACTGCGGTCCGCCGTGCAAAGAAGGGCAGCGGCTCGCGAAGGAATGCAGCCCCACGCACGACCGCGTGTGCGAGTGCGAGCCGGGCACCTTCCTGCTCAACGAGTTCTGCGTGCGGCACAGCAGCTGCGCGGCGGGGCACGGCGTCGTCACCAAAGGCAAGCACGGGGGGTGGCGACACCGCACGTGGCGCGCGCGCGACACGTGTGTTTGTTGCGATTCATTCGGCGATCGATTCACTCGTACCAAGACGCTGCTCAATTATTGTATCTCATTTAATTAATTGAATCGATGACAATTCGTTCCGCGTGACCGCCCCCGTCACCAAATCCCTGCGATGGACAAGGGGACACAAAAGGCACAAACGCCCATTCATGTATTCTTCATTCATTGTAGTAACTCGTTCTGCATATCAAACGGCTCGTGCATGCACGGGTAGGATGTCCTCGCTAAAGGCACGAGTGCTAATTACCCATTCATTCGTGCAGAGATTAAATAATTTGCGCATGATTTCATTTGTTCTGCTTTGCTCCAATCACCAGTGCCCATCGGGATGGAGCTTCCTCGTGCACAGCACGAGCTTTCTACCCCACTCAGAAATTGGTTCCTACATGCATTCGTTTGATGATCATTCATTCGTAAATGTATTTACTATGCCCCACCACCAGTGCTCGTCAAGTCGGGCATCTTAGCTCCACTTTCCTATCGCCTAGCTATCTCTGAGCTCCAATCTATACCTATTCGCTCATCTCTCTCTCTGCGCATCTCTACATCTTTCTCTCTCTCTCTGTCTGCCCGTGCCCCCCGTCTCACACTCTTCTCGTCACGCATCTCCGTGTTCCGCAGGATCCCCGCACGAAGACACGCACTGCGCCCCGTGTCCTCGGGGATTCTTCTCCCCCGAGGCATCGGCGGATGCCACGTGCCGCCCGCACACCGACTGCTCCAGTCTGGGCTCCGCGGAGCTGCTGCCCGGGGCCTCCACGCACGACGCGCTCTGCTGGTCCTGCCGCCAGCGACGGGCGTCCGCGCGGAGTCGCGAGCATGGGGACACGAGGCCGGCAGGTGAGCTGCTCGTGACGACTGCTCTCTCGCTCACTCTTTTCGTACGAACGTATGATTTGAGCGGCAACCGTAGATCAATGCCCTAGTCGGAGAGTGCTCCGGGTTGGACGCGCGTTCACAATCTGGTCTGATGCAATGATGAAGAGGTTGCCAGTTCATTATCCCATTGCAGAAGTAGGAAACGATAAAAACGTTCGCCATTTGAATGAGACGCTAAATTCCACTGGATGGCAAATGACTGACCGGTAGTTTAGCGAGAGGTATGCTGACACGGTCTTGCCAGGTATGGAAATATTTTTTGAGTTGCCAACCCGGACGGACTCGATTGCCTGGCTGCAAATTGACACGACCCCACACCTCCAATTAGCACAGTTGGCTACGTGCGGTGCGAAATAAGTAAAGTAAAACAAGAAAGTCCATCCTGTTCAGGGTTATCCAGAACAACAGTTGACGGCGGAACAACACACTTTACATCTCTCTTCCTTCCGCAGGGGACGATGGTGCCGAGCCTCCATCGTCGTCGCTTAATCTGCCGCCCCAGCCGGAGGGCCCATGCAACGCCGCGACCCTACAATTCGTGGACAGTGTTCGTCACCTGGTTCCGCCGTGCCTGGCCCGCCACAAGCCAGAGGTGACCGCCTACATCCGGAAGCTTCTGCTCAGTACCGTAGATAATGTGGGCAAGCAGCGACACGGGCGCAGGAAGCAAGGCGGGAAGACGAAGCAGGGGAGCAGGATGGAGAAGCACGTGAAGAAGCTGCTGCTCCGGGTTTGCGCAAGAAGAACATCGCAAGGAGGGTCGGTGAGAATACACGGTTCATCGTTACGAAGAAAAACGGCGGACTGAACGTGGTCGAACAAGATGGGAAGGGCCTTTTAAATGGTCATGTAGTCAAAAACAAGTTTGAGCAGGTCTTCCACTGAAAGGGGCTCAGGGCTCAGAAACATTGATATAGCAACCAAAGAGATGTTGCAGTTAAATCCATGTTGTCAGCTGCCCAACCATGATAAAATTGGGTTCTTAAGTTCAGCGAGTTGATGGTCCTGGCCCAGTTTCCAATGACTGCACAAACATTGCCATCTTAAAGTTGATTTGTTGAATAATTCTGGGTCTCTCAGAATAAAAAAAAAAGTGGTTTGATCGCCATGCGTGTAGTGAAGCTGTGGCTCCTGGCGGTAGTTCCGCATAACGTGCTTCTGTGCTCTGTTCTCCGACAAGCTGGGAATGGACACTTCATCCCATGACATGACGCCAGTAGGGCAAACTGCACAAAAACAATTTTGGGAAAGAGATGACAGCTTTATAAGCTGTAGCCGGAGTTTTTCAAGGCCGTCGATTGAAGCCCTCTAAATTATCCAATATAGAACACTCATCGCATGAATTAAATCAACTGGAGAGGGCTTAATAATTTCACGACGAGTGGTGACGATGAGGTATGATTCATTTAATTACATTCCGTAAATTGAGGCATAGCTTGTAACAGAGGACACCCATTAAGGTTACCGCATGCCACAAACTGCTTTGGGGACACCATAACAGTGAATAACTTTAATAAACCGACATTATTAACAAACACTTCCTCACGACTGAAACCTTAATCGCTGAACATTTCAGACAATTTGCCCTGCTATAAGGTGCAGAAGAGTGCAGGTGTAGCTACGAACAGCGACCACCGTGCCATCTAAAATGTTACAAAAATCCCCGATTTGAAGAAGCTTCGTCGATGACAAGGATGTGATTCACGTGAAGAGAGAATGGAAATATGTCAGCAGTATTCACAAGTCTCTCCTACTACCAGGGCTCTCGATGTTTTCCAGAATGTTACTGTGCTGGCTTGGAGTTAGGAATTATTAGCAGAAGGCATTGCAACTCGAGCGTGTGATATACCTATTATAATAATCCATGTTGTTGTATAGGCCAATCAGTTTCAAGGGCAATGCATACATTACCGAAGTATATTTGTTTGAACGGTTTACCGCAAGTATGTGTGGTTAACGCAGACTGGATGCCTTGTAATCGGTGTCCATTTGGTGTTTGAACCTCTTAACACCTCCCGTCATATTGGCAGAAAGGGTAATTCCTTTTTTATTATTCCATCACTATGTTTATTGCACCCTATGTACTTATAATCAATCCAATGAGAGCTTTATACAAAAAAAATATGGACAAAATAAGGACCAAATTAGGATACGGTTTGTCAAAACGGTTCCCAAAAGAGTGTTGATGTGAACAAAAATAACGACAAAATTGCGTTGCTAAGATTTTTAGAGAAACATTTCTGGAGCAGAGCGTAATGTACCGCTAATGTCAAATATACTGGGGGACTGGTTAATGCAGTCCCTCCACATTTTTGTTGACGCCACAGTATTTTTATAGTAAGAGTATTTTCAAACTTTACATCACGGTGCCCTGTACAAGAGCTGCGTGTGCACACGCGTCACATGACGTGTGCATGCATGACTTTTTTTGGAATGTAAAATATGTATTTTTGTAATTGTCACGGATGGTTATGTGTTGACTGTTGAAACATATAAATAAAAGTTGCATAAAACGGATACACGTTCAAAATTCCTCACAAAATTTAGAGAGAATCGAAATCCACAAATACGTCATCAGCTATGATCGACACATTGCAGGCTGAAGACCTCCCTTCAATCATGGCTGCGATGCCAAAAAGCCGCCTAGATTTTTCTGCCCACGAGCTCTGATCTTATCGCTCCATCTGCGTTCATCGGTTATCATCCCTTATCGCTGTGCTGCCCTGACCAAACTCAACATAATGCCTCCACAGTAATTATATTGTCCTGAAAGGAATTGCGGTCGTCCTGAAGCCGCCCCCCCATCCCCCCAACTCTACCAGAGAGAGAGAGAGAGAGGAGGCGGTGTCCGTAGAGTTGTGGTGGTCCGCGAAAGTACACCCCGATAAATAGGTGGCCCTGATGCCGATGGGCAAATTGCCAGGTGGGTGAGACACGTGGCTGTCCTCACGTGGTGCGCGCGCGTGAGCAGCACGTGGTGCGAGCACGCGCTCGGTGATTCCCCCGCACGTGACCTCTTGACGCGCACGACCGAATCCGCATTCCTAAGGTGACGCAAGCAGCCCCGCACCCTTCCCGTGCCCTTAAACCCAGGGGTGGGGGACGTCCGGCCCGCGGGCCGTATAAGGCCCGCGAAATCATTTAGTGTTGCCCTGCCAAGGCAACCGCAGGCGGGACTCGAAATTCAATACATCTAGGAGCAAACCTGGAAAAGCAGTTGTGAGTAGCAGCAACATCATCAATACCAGCTAACATCACACGCCTCGCCCAAAGAGAAGCAGTTCCAGCCATCACATGAAGGGGTGAGTTAATTAAATGTTTGATCAAATATAACAGGCAAATTTTTACGTTGATAATTTTGTATGGCCCGCGAATGACGTTATAATAACCAAATGGCCCTTGGCAGAAAAAAGGTTCCCCACCCCTGCGGCTTAAAAGAACAGCCCCCAACACCCCCCAGTAGCCCCCCCCCACAGCCTTAACAGCGTGGTGGAGCAAATACTATAAGGAACCCACTGGAGCGATGCGCTTTTAAATCCTTTCAATCTGCTGTTTGTGTTTAGTCTTTTGGTTAACCCCCCACCCCGCACCACCGATTAGCACGGTTGGTTACGTACTGTGCGAAGGAAGTTCTACATACACACCAAGGCCGTAATTATAATATATATTGGGGGGGGGACACACATCCCCCCCTAATATTCAAATATGCTAAAAATGTCCCCCCCCCCCTAATATATTGCTATAAAATCGATTTCTGTTTATATGATTGTGGTTATGGTTGTACTTTATTAATCCCCAATCTCTGCCATTACATACAATTAAAACAAGAAAAGGTAAAAAAGAAAATAAGAGCAATGTAATACAATACACTATTAGACATTATTGTAAAAAATAAAAAAATAAAAGTCAATCCTATGTGTTGGTGAATTTTTTTTTTATATTTTAGGCAGAAAATGGCAGGAAATTAGTTTTCAAATTTAGATTTTTTTTTTTCTGGGGCGGGGGGGACCCCCAGACCCACTGGAAAATGTGGTCCCCCCCAATATTGACTCCATGGCTACGGCCTTGATACACGCACGTGTAATGAGCGACTTCCGAAACGCGTCGTGTTAGAGGGCTTCTTATTTATTCTCACACTGGGCACAACGCAGGCCGATACATATACACACGTCTCCTCTCACTGGGCACAACACTGGGTAATATATACACGTCTCTAGCCACGCACAGCCGACCTCTCTACGTAGTCCCATCGCCGACATCCAACCACACGGCTGGCTGACTGGTGTGACGATGACGGCGCTGGGAGCCGTGCAGAGGATCTTCCACGCGGCCGGAAGTCGGAGAGAGATGACGGCGAGCAGCGGCGCAGCCAGGACCCGGGACCCCGCCGCAACAACCCTGAACCTTCGGTTCCATCCCACTTCTAGACCTCTCGGCGTGGCCAGGCCTCGAAGGTTCTGGAAGGGGGCGTGGCCAGGACTATGGCTACGCCCCCTTCCAGAACCTTCGAGCAGGTTCCCGGAGCTTCCCGACTAACCCCACCTTTGACCTTTAACCCAGACACGCCCCCTTCTGATTAGTTGTTACATAACCTTGCCCATATCCGTGATGACCCTTCCAGGCCGACAGGTGGAACCCTGCCATTACACAAGCGCTGTAAGTGCGAGGACATCATGAAGGGCAGAACGGCACACGAGGGGGTGGGTGGCTAACACCACGCCTGGTCGCTTTTATCTCCTCAGTGCTGCTGTTTACATCACTGAACCATTTGAGACCGAGGCGACCTAGAGGAGGCCCAGGACCAGTTCAGATAATAGGCGGCGGGAGGGCGGTGACATGGGGGAGGGGGGGGGAGAAACTTTTCCATTGTTTCAACCGCCCCGCCGGAAATTTTTTATGGAATCGGTGACCTGTGCATTGCAAGTTCATAGCGCTGACTCATTACACCGCTGTTGCAGCTGGTCATGATGCAAGGCTCTCGCAAGCGCCGACAAAAACAAGTTGCTCAATGCACGTGACAGGTATTGCACCCGAATTACACACAAAGTGACCAAAATATCTCCCCGAGCCGCACACGCCAGCGAGGCTGGGACAGTATTCTTTTTTCCCCTTCACGTTTATTGTGTCATTGCGCCAGACGTTATGGATGAGAGAGGAAACACAAGACGCGACGCAAGTACAAAGGAGACAGTCGCGAGACTGGACAGCACAAACAGTAGAGACAACACGAGAGAGTGCAGACAAGACGGCAACACGGCCTTTGCCATTACATACGAGGCGGTACAAACGAGACCGTACGAAAGGGACAATACTAATTACAATTTTATTTTTTATCTTACCAGCTAGGGCCCACTAAGCTCTGGGGTCGTCCATAAATGACGTCACGCGGTTTTGGACGATTTTTGACTCCCCCCCCCCCGAATTCGTCACACGGCGTCACAAAAAGTCAGCCCCCCCACTCAAATATGACGTCACAAAGCTCTGCCCCCCCCCAAAATATATAAAACCTGCTTCAAATCGCTTTAAACTATGTCATTGTAGTGCGTATTTAATGTGGCGCTGCACTCTAATGTTGTAGGAGAAAACATTTATTACAAAGTATATTTAATTAAGTAGAACGTGTTGCCTATATTTATTAAAAGTTGCGCATTTTGATGTGACGTCAAATTTCTCACCCCCCCCTCGTCACGCATCGTCACAAATGTCTGACCCCCCCCCCCCTAGGTGCGTGACGTCATTTATGGACGGCCCCAATATGGCTTTTTTCATAAGCGACCTGCCCACAAATGACAGCTCGACGAAGTGGCTCATCACGTGGAAGTGGCTCATCACGTGGAAGTGGCTCATCACGTGGAAGTGGCTCATCACGTGGAAGTGGCTCATCACGTGGAAGTGGCTCATCACGTGGAAGTGGCTCATCACGTGGAAGTGGCTCATCACGTGGAAGTGGCTCGGCTCATCACGTGGAAGTGGCTCATCACGTGGAAGTGGCTCATCACGTGGAAGTGGCTCATCACGTGGAAGTGGCTCATCACGTGGAAGTGGCTCATCACGTGGAAGTGGCTCATCACGTGGAAGTGGCTCATCACGTGGAAGTGGCTCATCACGTGGAAGTGGCTCATCACGTGGAAGTGGCTCATCACGTGGAAGTGGCTCATCACGTGGAAGTGGCTCATCACGTGGAAGTGGCCATCACGTGGAAGTGGCCCATCACGTGGAAGTGGCTCATCACGTGGAAGTGGCCATCACGTGGAAGTGGCCATCACGTGGAAGTGGCCATCACGTGGAAGTGGCCATCACGTGGAAGTGGCCATCACGTGGAAGTGGCCATCACGTGGAAGTGGCCATCACGTGGAAGTGGCCATCACGTGGAAGTGGCCATCACGTGGAAGTGGCCATCACGTGGAAGTGGCCATCACGTGGAAGTGGCCATCACGTGGAAGTGGCCATCACGTGGAAGTGGCCATCACGTGGAAGTGGCCATCACGTGGAAGTGGCCATCACGTGGAAGTGGCCATCACGTGGAAGTGGCCATCACGTGGAAGTGGCCATCACGTGGAAGTGGCCATCACGTGGAAGTGGCCATCACGTGGAAGTGGCCATCACGTGGAAGTGGCCATCACGTGGAAGTGGCCATCACGTGGAAGTGGCCATCACGTGGAAGTGGCCATCACGTGGAAGTGGCCATCACGTGGAAGTGGCCATCACGTGGAAGTGGCCATCACGTGGAAGTGGCCATCACGTGGAAGTGGCCATCACGTGGAAGTGGCCATCACGTGGAAGTGGCCATCACGTGGAAGTGGCCATCACGTGGAAGTGGCCATCACGTGGAAGTGGCCATCACGTGGAAGTGGCCATCACGTGGAAGTGGACAGCGGTGGAAGTGGCTCATCACGTGGAAGTGGCTCATCACGTGGAAGTGGCTCATCACGTGGAAGTGGCTCATCACGTGGAAGTGGCTCATCACGTGGAAGTGGCTCATCACGTGGAAGTGGCCCATCACGTGGAAGTGGCCCATCACGTGGAAGTGGCTCATCACGTGGAAGTGGCCCATCACGTGGAAGTGGCCCATCACGTGGAAGTGGCCCATCACGTGGAAGTGGCCCATCACGTGGAAGTGGCTCATCACGTGGAAGTGGCTCATCACGTGGAAGTGGCTCATCACGTGGAAGTGGCTCATCACGTGGAAGTGGCCATCACGTGGAAGTGGCTCATCACGTGGAAGTGGCTCATCACGTGGAAGTGGCTCATCACGTGGAAGTGGCCATCACGTGGAAGTGGCTCATCACGTGGAAGTGGCTCATCACGTGGAAGTGGCTCATCACGTGGAAGTGGCTCATCACGTGGAAGTGGCTCATCACGTGGAAGTGGCTCATCACGTGGAAGTGGCTCATCACGTGGAAGTGGCTCATCACGTGGAAGTGGCTCATCACGTGGAAGTGGCTCATCACGTGGAAGTGGCTCATCACGTGGAAGTGGCTCATCACGTGGAAGTGGCTCATCACGTGGAAGTGGCT